TCGGTTCAAGGCTGCGACTCTCCCGGTGAGACGTTGGACTTCGCGCTTGTTCTGTGGTGAGGGCATGTTCAGTAGAGCATCGATTTGCTTTGGGTTTGCCTCGATGCCTCGGTGAGTTACGAGATATCCCAAGAATTCTCCCGACTTTACTGCGAAACGACATTTTGCCGGGTTGAGCTTCATGTTGTGCTCGTTGAGCTCGCGAAAACAGTCGCGTAGATGGGCTATGTGATCGCTTTCCTCAAGGGATTTGACTAACATGTCGTCGATATAAACTTCCATCGTCTTCCCGAGCTGCTCGGAGAACATCCTGTTGACGAGCCGTTGATACGTTGCGCCAGCATTCTTGAGTCCGAAGGGCATGACTTTGTAACAGTAGATACCTCGGTCTGTGATGAATGCTGTCTTCTTGCGATCGTCGGGGTGCATGAGAATCTGATTGTATCCTGCGAAAGCGTCCATGAATGATAGCAACTTATTTCCCGCGGTTGCTTCCACTAAACGATCGATATGTGGGAGCGGAAAACTGTCTTTAGGGCAAGCTTTGTTCAGATCGGTGAAATCGACGCAGACTCTCCACTTGCCGTTCTTCTTTTTAACCACGACAGGATTTGCTAACCAGTCCGGATACCTTGCTTCAGAGATCGAGCCAATCTTCAGGAGCTTTTCAACTTCGGCGTTCACGGCATCTGCGCGATCCCGGCCCAATTTTCTTCGCTTCTGCTTGATGGGCTTGAAAGATGGATCAACATTCAGCTCGTGGCAGATTACGTCGATGCTTACTCCAGGTAGATCTTCAGCCGACCAGGCGAAGGTGTTGATGTTCTCTTTGAGGAATGAGATGAGCTCGGTCTTGATTTCCTCGGTTAAGTCGCTGCCAATTTCCAGGCATCGTTCAGGCCGTTCGACTTCGAGGCTAATGGAGATTACAGGATCCGAGGTAGGCTTCTTCTCCTCGCGCGTCTCCTCGATCTGTAATTGCTATAACTGTTTAGATATAGCCTTCTCTTCACTCCGGCCAAGTTTTGATTTCTTGTGATCGGTTTCAGCCTTCGCTTCAGTGACAGGGTTTCGGAGTTTGTGTGCTGCCATGAAACACATCCGAGAATTTTTCTGACTGCCCCATATCGTTTTCACGCCATTAGGGGTCAGGAATTTGACACACAGATGATATGTTGATGCGACAGCTCGCATTAGATTTAACCACGGGGTTCCCATTATGACGTTGTAGATGGTAGGTCGATCGGTGACTGAGAAGTTGACTATCTTTGTTACCCCGCCGGCTCGGACTGGTAGTTGGATGGTTCCAAGCGTCATCAAAGTTTCCCCTGAAAATCCGAGGACAGGCCTCGGGGTCGGAATCACCTATGACATGTCGATGTTCATTCGTTGGAGCGTTTCGCGAAAGATTACGTCAATGGTGCTGCCGGTGTTAATTAATACTCGGTAAATATCATGGTCTCCTATCGCTAATGTGACGACAATTGGATCGTTATGAGGCATGTCGAGCCCGTTTGTCTCGCTTTCTTCGAATATGATCACGTCGTTAGGTCGATCGAAGCGTCTTGTCCAGTTGCTAGGCGTCTCGGCTCGGCGTTGATAAGCTTTGATTGCCGCTACGGTGTCAGGACAGTATGGCGATCCAATCATTATGGTAAGAACCTTCTGCCGCGTACCATCTCGGTCTTCGTCTTCCGACCCCCGAGTTCTTTTCTGAGACTCCTGGTTCCTTGGTTCGGGGTCTCTTCCTGGGTTGATCTGCTCGGGCTCCGGTTCTGGCTCGAGGTCCTTAAGAGTAACGTTTGTCCCGAGCTCTCCAGCTAGGAATTTGGTTGCTAACTTGGCTCCGAGGCTTCGGCATCTCGAGGTATGATGGCCGAAAATTTTGTGGTGTTCGCAATATTCTTGATCATTGCTCGGTGGCTGATCCCTTGTCCAGGTGAAGGACTCTCTTCCTCGCCCACGGCCTCGGCCTCTGCCGCGGCCACGGCCTCGGGGCGTGTCAACCTGGTAGCTATGGTATACTGAGAAATTACGCCCTTCGTGATGCGTATACGTACTGCTCTCACGTGTCTTTTTCTGGACCGGAGGCGTCGCTTGGGCTTTCTCGGTTTTCTCGGCTCGGGGCGCCTGTTTCGTTGGCTCGTGCCTCTTTGCTAGCAGCGCCATCTCTTCTTCGTGGGCGACGAAATCCGAGGCTCGGTGCAGCGCGTCGCAAATTGTTGTCGGTTTAGACAGATTCAACTCTTTCCTGAACTCTGACTTATACCAGAGGGCTTTCTTTAAAGCCGAAAGAGCGGCTACATCTGTAATTCCTTCTACCTTGGCTAGCGTCGATTTGAAGGTTTTGAGGAAATCTCTTAACGGCTCGGTGGGCTGTTGAGACAGGGACCACAGATCCGCGTCGGAGGTTCCGGGGTCGATGAGCACGGAGTATTGCTTGAGGAACAGTGTCGACAGCTCGTCGAAACTGTCAATCGAGTTTCGTTCCAATCTTGAAAACCACTCTAATGCGGGTCCTTTGAGGTGTTCTACGAACAGTAGGCACAGACCTGCATCCTTTTCCCCGGGTTTGAACCTGGCTCGGGCCACAGATATCACGAACGATTTAATGTGGCACTTTGGATCGGTTGATCTCTTGTAAGAGTCGATTTTGAACTTTCCCAGATTGGACATCGTCGTTTCGGAAATTCTTTTGGTGAAAGGCGTATTCCGAGATTCTTCCAAAATTCGGTCGATGTTCGGTGCGGAGGATGAAACGCTATGTATCTGGGTTTTGACGAGCTTCATATCAGCTTCCGCCTTGGCTAGGGAGGCTCGTATCTTGCTTAGCTCGTCTTCTCTTTCGGATTCTTCGGCCTACCTTATGTTTTCCTCAGTTTCTTCATCGTCAGTGAGATCTGTTCGCTCGGCGGAGTTAGCTCCGGCTCGGGTACGCTCATCTTGCAGATCATCTGGCTCGTCCGTTAAGTCCACTGCGTCAAGCTCGGTGGGATCATCTTGGTTCTCGCGTCTGGTAGGGTCGGCTCGGGTTGCGACTCTAGTGTTGCCGGTTGGTGTCGCGAACGTGAGTCTTGTTGGGTTGATGCCAGGTAAGTCCCTCCGAGCTCGTGGCGGCCGAGTCTGGAAACGCGTGGTTTTTGGTTGCCCACGTGTTGCGATTTCGTCGACTCGCTGCGCCAAGGTTTTGTTAGCTTTCTCTTGGTCGTCAGCTTTCTTCTGGAATTTAACCATCAGGTCTTTCAGTTCGGCTAGAGTCGCTATGATCGTCGGATCGGCTTGAGGATTCTGAGGGTTCGGAGGGTTCGGGATCCCTCCTCCAGCTGGTGGTGTCTGACAACCGTCTTCGTTCATCGTCCTTTTCAGTAATCGAGTTCTGCGTCTTAGAGTAAGAGAATTCTAAAGTACTCCCCACAGACGGCGCCAAACTGTGGAAGTCGAAACTAACACAATCAAGATTTGTCTAGGGTTTTATTTTAGGGATACTATAATCGTGAATTCTCAAAGAACAACAGAAACGATTGTAACCAAAGATGGTGTTCTTGGTATTATTAAGAAAAAGATGACTTTGATCGTACAAGAGTTTGATCGTAAAAGGAAAAAGATGTTTGTGCTGTAAGAGCTTTGCGTAGTGTAAATTCTAGAGCGATATTGCTTGCCCCTTCGTTTGAGCCTTGAATCTGTTTATATAGGGATGATAAACCGCCTCTCCAGCGATATTCTCGGAAGATTTCCATTTATCTTGAAGTCGGCCAGAATATCGTGGATTAGGATAATTTCCTTATTCTTCGGAGTTTTTGGAAGACTTCCTGATTTGAGCCGATCCTTCGCGATTCTTCTTTATCATTTCCGAGTTTATCGGAAATGATCCTTCTTTTTCGGAAATGATAACTTGCTTGGAAATGATACTTTTGAAGAAGAATATTTACTAAGTCTTTGCTTCGGATGATGACGAATACTTCGCCCTGGAGAACTTATGCAATCAGCTCGGGTGCACAGGAAGGATCGGCTCGGGTACCTTGGCGTGAACCGGTTCGGGCGGTTGAAGAGCTGGCTCGGGTACACAGGAAGGACTGGCTCGGGCACTCTAGGATGGCTTATCTGAGTATCCCGAGGCGACGGGCTCGGGCGCTCCGAGGCGATTGGGCTCGAGTACTTCCGAGACAACTGGCTCGGGTACCCCCGAGGCAATTGGGCTCGGGTACTTGAGATGTCTTGTTCAGGTATCCCCGAGGCGATAGGCTCGGGTCTAAATCGATTATGTGGATAACCCGAGGTGGATGATGCGATATCCCGAGGTGATCTCTGTAAAGCTCCCGAGGTGTTCTAAGTCTGGCTCGGCGCCAAAGGATGGAATCCGACCCCAACAATCTGGTTCTGTCGTATCTGCGGTTTCTTTTGTAGGTTCTACCATGGAAGCATCCCCTGGTTCTGTCGGACGCCCCGCCGTCGATTCATATTCACCTTCCCCGTCTCTTACACGAGCCATTCCAAAATTCCCCAGATTTCCGACAGATTAGAATATGAACAAGGATAACGACGGTGCAAAATTCGACTTAAACGGTGAGAAATTGAAGAAAATCCATGAAATATGAGAAGAAATCGGAAAGAAATCAGAGAAGAAATCGGAGAAGTTACTTAGGGTTTCGAAAGGGGATTTTTCTGAGAAAATACGAAACGATTTCTTTTTTTCTCTGTTTATCTCTCAGTTGGGCTTGCTGTGATGGGCTTCGCTCGAAATAATCAGTGGGCTTGGATCGGATCAGTCGAAACGGGTCACCGAGATCTGATGCTGGATATTTACTTTGGGTTTTTGGTCTTTTCATTATTCTGGATTTAAATCCCTTTAAATTTAATTCATCTAATAATAAGGGTGGCATTCCATCCTTTTTTTCTCCAGAAAGTGGCTTTCCAGCCATTGATTCAAATTTAAACCGAATTAAAGAAGAAAAATCTGATATGAAACCAAAATTTCTTTGTAAATTAAAGATTTAACAAAATCAAAATCCAAATTGAAATCGCAACCAAAACCATACCAAATCCTAAAACCCCTCTCCCTGAACCAGAGACTGTTTCGTTTCTCCCGCCAATCGACAATACCATAAATTAGGGTTCACGAAGCTTCCGCATTGCGTCTCTCTTCCCAATTTCTTCCAGGTAAAATCTCTCAAATTCATCGATTCATGTCTCCAATTTACGCTTAATTTAGCTAATTTGATTTCAGAATGGCTGACGAAGAAGACCCTCTCTCTCAATTTGATATATCCAAAGAGGTAACAGATTCACTTTTGGGAATTTTGATTTCGAAATATGTATATGATTTGGTCTTGAGATTGATTTTTGTGATGATTTGATTTTGAAACAATTCAGGAAACGGATAAGTTAGTTTCAGAGGTGATTAGATTCATACTATTCAAGTTTCACCAAAGCTCAGGAACTCCAATTAAAAGAGAAGATTTGACTCAGATTGTTACTAAGAACTATCGCCAGCGAAATCTCGCCACACACGTGATTAACGAAGCGAAGAAGAAGCTTTCTAATGTGTTTGGTTATGATTTGAAAGAGCTTCAACGTGCTCGGGCTTCTTCTAATGGTCAATCTAGTAGGCTTCCTCTGTCACAGAGTAAGATTGGCATTGTCTTTTAATAAGCAGCACCGCGTCTCGGCGATTAGCTAAATGTTTGTTTTCATTCATGTTAGGTTCTGTTGACTCGAAATCGTATGTGCTTGTTAGTGAATTGCCGTTGGAAGTGTTTAGGAAACATGTTGTGGATGAAACTACGAGTCCTATGACTGGCTTCACGTTTGTGGTTCTTGCTATTGTGCAGCTTGCAGGAGGTAAAATCCCTGAAGGTATGCATTACTCGATCTTTTACTACGATATTTTTTTGGTTTCGATGCAATGTTCTATGCTTTCGATTTGCCCTTGTCCTGCGTTGGTCTAATTTACGGAATTTAACGAGTTGCTGATTTAGTAAGTGCTTCTTCTAGAGTCTGTGTTAAGAGATAAAGAGTTAGTTTTTGTTGTCGCAATTCTAGGAATCATAGTTAGAGAGCAAAGTCGTAGCTTTGAAGTCACAAGTACATTATATAGATTTGTTTAAGATCCTAAAATCTCTATGATGAATTAGTTTTGAGAATCAAATCAAGAGTATATGACACAGGCTTGATTTAAGAATTTGTTTGTTGACGTCTTTTCTCTTGCATCTATGTTTTCTCAACATCCTTAGAAACCCTTTGGCATCATTTGAAGCGAATGGGATTGCACGAAAGTGATGAGCATAATCCTGTGTTTGGGAACAACAAGCAGACCCTGGAGACATTAGTCCAACAAAGGTGAGACCTTTCTTTAACCTTGTGCATAACACTGTAAGGAATAAACGACAGAGGCGAAGATATTGGTTTTCATTGCTCTTCTCTAAATGTTTCATCCTTTTTTACAGGTACTTGCAGAAGGAGAAAGTAAGTGGCCCAGAGGGTAATACTCTGTTTTACGATCTTGCTGAGAGAGCGTTAGATCCACAAGTTAGCGAGAAAGTAAAAGATTACATTTCTCAGGTACTACATGAAGAACATACATCTTCTTTGTTGATGTTTTAATCACCTCTTTCAGCTTTTACTAAGATTTCGCATTACTTGGAATGCAGATCCTGAAGAATGATGTAGCAGTTGTAGAGCTTGATGATTAGGGGAAGATTTGGCCTTAGAGACTAACCAAACAGTTTGGTGCAAGTCTTTGACTCATGTATTTTGTAAGATTGCCTTGATTATTCAATTTGATGTATGAAGTTTCTTGACCAATTCTGATACAATATTGACAAAAAAATATGAATTGACTTTTATAATTTTGCCATCTGATGACATATACACTTCTACTACAAAATGTTCAGCTATGAATTAAGCCCTCTCCAAAGTTGTTGGTCTAGAGGAACTGCTGATTATACAGGAAAAAGGTAAAACTTTAACCTGAAAAGCTGTAACAGATGGATGATACAGCCAAAAACATTTTAGCTGACCAAATTTGCTAAATTATAGAAGTTTGAAGTCACTGAGAAGATGAACTTCTTCTGTTTGATGAGCTTGAATCCCCGATTGAGACAGTGGCCAAAGACTTGGAGGCCCATGCTCTGGCGTTCATGGCTCCTCCCTGCAGATTGCTTCTTCTGTGCATGCATAATTGTACAGCTCGGCTCAGAAACCCGATGGTATGTTCTAGCAGGCTTTCCAGTCTCATGTTCTGCGCAATCCTTCTCCAAGTGAATTTCATAAACATGACGAGTGTAGGGTATATCAGGTGAAGCAATCGTAACAGGACGAATACAATGGCAAGAGCCAGATAGGTCTCTTGTCGAAGCATATTCTCAGGTGATCTTGCCCATGTGAATGGGCAGTTTTCTGGCTCAATGTTGTTTTGGTTCCCGAGATGAGGAACTGATACGCTTTTGTCAAGAGAAGTTTTATCCAACGTTTCGATACCTACAATCCCATAACATTCCTTGTTAGTTTCCACTGGTTGAGCTATTCAAAAAGATCAAAAACAACTAATACCAGCACACAAAACCAACTCTTTTGTAACTACTAACCGCCTAACCTCATTAGGAAAAACACGACTATCAACACCAGGGTAAACACAGAACAGAAGAGACTACATATATGAGAAGCTAACAAAACACCTTACCGGTAACATCACTATAGAAAGCAACAAGAGAATCAAGCATTCTGGTTCCTCGGTATCGTGCCCGCATTGTCGAATTCAAAAGCAAAAGAGTGGGAAACCCATGAACTCCATACTTAGAAAGGGTACTGCAAGTAATCAAAAAATCATCACAACAAAAAATCAACAAGATTAAAGATTATGACGCTTTATTTATCAACTCACCTCGGCTTAACGGATGATTCCTTAATCGCAAAATGAGGAATCGAGGAATAGAGAGAAGCAATAACATCGAAACTCGGTCTAAACGACCTTGAAAATGGACACCATGATGCATAGAAAAGCAAAGCCACATAATCACACTTGTTCTTATGAATCATATCTAAAGCCAATTGCAACCAACGCTCATCACCCTTCACAATAAACATTACCAGAACCAAATTCAGTATTTGATAACATTCATAAGAAACAAAAGACAGATTCTTTCGATATCGAATTACATACAGAAACCCTAGAAATTGAAATCTGAGCTCTAATTTCAATTACCTCGGTGACGGCACCAAAATGAGGACGCTCGTCTGATTCAACACCAGAAACAGGACAAGTCTGATCTCGAAACCCAAAGATGGAATCTTTAACAGACCTCGTAGCACAAAACGGAACCCTCGTAGACCTCGTTAGATTCAAAAACACCATCATGACCAATAGCAACAACAAGATCCTCTTCTCCATTAAAAGATACCCAGAAGCTCTATCTCTCTCTCTCTCTCTCTGTCCCCACGAAATTCACAGAACCCAGAATAGAAATGCTGCAGATTTGTTGTTGCCGACAAATTAGAAACAGGTGAGAGGTTGATGTTTCTGGGAATTGAATCAATGGCGTTTTTAATGGAGAGATTTTTGTGCAGCGTTAATGGATTTTGTGATTTGAGGGAGATATTGAAGGATATCAATGAGGAGGAGAAGGCGGTTGTGGTTGCTGCTTGGTACTGGGTATTGCTCGTAGGAGGAACAAACCAAATTTTTTTTTTTTTTTCCAATACAATGTCGTGATAAAAAATAGAAAACAAATATAGTTATAAAAAAAAATCCAATTCTAAACCGGATTTTTTTTATAGTAAAATAATAATTGTTTTAAGAATATGATTTTGATTTTCGATTTCGGTTAAGGACTTGAGGAGGTTTTTTTTTTCTTTTTAATTTATTTAATATATGAAAAGTTAAGCGTCAACCACATTCCAAATTAGATATTTACATAGTTTTTTTCGTAATTTCTTTTGTCTATTTTTGTTAGTCTAAAACCCCCAATTATTTTTGTTTTAATTTTATTCTCTTGTAGAGAAATTCATAATGTAACTTTCTAGTATTTGTTGGATCTATTTTTAAGTAGTTCAATTGATTTGATGTGCATTTGCTGCTAAATTGTTGTGTTAATTGAAGTTAAACCCGACACACGTCACTTGTTTCTTTAGTTATTGTAGTTTGATGGTAACTATGTTATTTTATGGGTCTCATACTTTATTCATTTTCTTTAATGCCAAATAGGCTTACAACTTTCTTGGTTAAAGCTCCACTTAATTTAATGCAAAACAAATATTTGAACAAAAAAAAAAGTTGAGCTCAAGGTTATTTCTTTTCTTTTTTGGTTAAGAAGTTCATTTCAAAATTCTCTGTAGTAGTTTTGGTTAGTTTTTTTTTCTTTAATATTATATGTTCATATATAAAGAAAAGCTAAAAGAAATATTTTCTCCATTTGTTAACAGCTTAAAAGATCTATGCAATTGCTAAAGTTAGAGTCGATCACAAACATATAAAAAAAACTTCTTTTCTATCAACAAAGCAAGGAAACCACTAAGAGGAAATTGAAAACATGTCTGAAAAAATGAAAAAATGAAAAATAGAAAAGAAAGACGCTAACTGTTGTGGATATCGAATCTGACACTTCGAATTTGTAATAAAATGTGGGACAAAAATCAAGAACAAAAGTACCAAAGTATTTGTGATTTAGTTTAGCTTTTACGTAATAGAAAATAGTAAAGAAAAGTGTATTATTACCTTGTATTCAGAGAAAATCCGTTGTCTTCTTAAGTTTTGGGACTACATATTATAAAATCCGTTGTATTTTTGTTTACACTACATATTATAAACAAAAATGACTAATGAATGCAATTATTCCTCATAAATGTGTCCGTTTTGATTAGGTAATAAATGTTGCAATGTTTGAATTCGAATTCTCCTTAGGTTTCTTCTTTTAGGACTCGTAATGGACATGACTCGTTTCTGATAGATCTTTGGCTCTCTGCGAGCTCATGATCAGAATCTTCGAGTTCTCCCACCTGGTGACTTAGATCGTGGTTGTGGGCAGTCATATTATGACGTGGAGATGATGTGGATTTCTCCCTGTGGATTTCCGACTCTCGGTTCGGGATCTTGTATCAACAAATGCTGCCAAGAAAGTGAGGGTTTTGGGAGCTCTCTCAATCTCTCCTTTTTGAGAAGTGGTTATTATGTGTTTAGGAAAAGTATTAGAAAAACATGAACCTCGATTTTGTCCATAGAATTTGAACTACTGGAAACATGCTCCATTACATGCCCCACCACTACACCATGCCTCAAAACAAAAAATGTAAATGTTAACTTCCTCTTACTTGTTTTTGAGATGTGATTAAAAATCATAACAACGATACTCTTTCGCAGAAAATACATAATTAAAATCTTGAACTCACAGTTACCATTAGTAAACTTTTTCACGTATTTTATTCCGTCACACCGGTATCCAACAAACTTAGGATTCTTTGCTACACTCAAAATTTTATCACATACTATAGTTCAAATAAAGTTTACAGAAGTTTAAAGGGTGAATTTGTGCAGAGACAAAAACTGGACATAAAATTAGCTAATCAACAATATGGATTTTTGGTCTTTAACAAAGATAAATAAATTAGATAAATGGGTCTCGAGTTCTAAGTAATAACGAAAATGCCACAACTTTATTTGTGCATGCGCGTGGTGGAGATGTTTTTGACTTTTAAGGCATTCGGAAGAATAAACAGACATGTAATAAATGTTCACCTGTTGATAGAAACAATGAGGTGACAGTTATTAAATGCAATGACTTTATTTGAGCTTTATGAATTTTGAATCCGTAATGAAAGCAGTTTTAGACGGGAATCGAAAAATGTAAACAACTAACATAGTTGCATGGATACCTAATAAATAGTTCTTCGAATTTTTTAAACAACTAAGCTAGTTGCATGGACACCCAATAAATATTATATATGGTTTTGACATTTTGTATACATATAAACAAATACATACATAGAGCGTTAAAAATAATTATAGTGTTAAATAATTCGGTCTATGTATACATGTCAATACATATATATATAGAGAACGTTATTAACATTTTTGTACATGTAAACACATACATAGAGCTTTATTAACATTTATATATATGTAAACACATATATAGAGCGTTATTTACATTTGTATACTTATATGTACGCTACAACGCTCCGCTGCCGAGTTAACAAGAAATGGGCCAACTTCCCCGAGAATGACGGTTTGGAGTAAACATCGAGTAATTTTCCAAAGCACGGACAAATAAGCTCAAGCTCCGACGGTTGCAAAGCCTTGAGGATAACCTTGATCGCATATAGCTTAAAATACTAGTTCACTCGGTCTCCTACTGGCTCTTCTCTATCAGCAAACAAACGAGAAGGAAGTTCCAGAACAGCCATGTCATGCAGAAAGAAATAAGGGTAATAAGTTGTTAGCAAAGGATTAGATCTGGAATTATAGAGCAGTATACGGGAAGGGCTAAAAGAAAAAATAGATCTGTAAAGGTGGTGTCGAGAAAAGTAGAGATCTAAATAGATCTGTAAAGGTGGTGTCGAGAAAAGTAGAGATCTAATTTATCCGAGGGAGATCTATGATTATACTAGATCGAAACCCATAAACGGTAAAAATCGAAAAAAGACTATTCTGAAAGCGTAACATGATGGCGTTTGGAAATAGGAAAAACAAAAATAATTGACAGTGTTTATAAAACATCGAAAACCGAAAGAAAATGAGAAGCCATTAAACTCGCGAATTCTGTTCTCCGACGAGAACGACGGTTAATATAACCCCAGAGACGACGGCTTACCGAGATGATAATGCTAATTCCTTCGGAGGGAGAGTTTGATGAAAGAAAAATCAGATGTGAACAGAGAGTGATGGGACTTAGGGTTAACAGTAGCATGCGCGGAATAATGAAGAGAAAAGAGAGAAGACACCCAAAAGTCGGACTGCGAAAATTAGATAGCTATAACACGCAACAGTTTCTCGAGAATGCCAAAATTCATTGCCTTTGTCTCTCATAATGGGCCAAACTTTGATCTACAGTGCATAAGCGAGTGGGGTTACAATTGGACACAAGAGTGGCTAAAATTATCGTTGTCCTAGGCCTTGTGTCAGATTACAAGAAAACTAAATAAGTTCCCCAATAATGTCTCTCACCCAATTATCCCAAGTTTAAAACTCTCTTTCGAAACTTTATTGTAGCCAAGTTTAATTTACTTTCAACCTAAACATTATAGATTATTAAAACAAAATTGACTTATCTTGAACTGATCTCATCCAACACAATGGCTTCGACATGCATAGTGTCAAGAGTGAAGTAAAGAAAATACAAATCTACGTACGATCTCAAGTATTTTATAGCCTTGTCAAATTTGATTTATGGCCGATAATAATAATAATAATAACTCCAAGCAGCAAGCACGTAAGATTTTTACGTCGCTAATCTTATACTTGTATATAAATGTAGAAAGTTTGATGTCACACATATATTTCCCCCCATTGTTTTTACAAAATCTGTTGTTATTTCAAATGCGGTTATAATCGTGTCTCATTGACTCAACTACTTTAGTAGAGGACTCCTCAGTCTCACTAATTGTGCAAGGGTCTATAGAGAGAATAGAGACTTGGGTCAGTTAGTTTGAAATATCATTTAACTTGGTAACTTAATAGGTCCATTGATTATACAAAATTTGAAGACTTGAAATTCCATATACTTGAGTATGATGGCTTGGAAAGTATTAAATTTATTAATTTTGTAGGACTTGAATATTATTACTAGAATTTATCATGTCCTTTGAATTTGTTAATTTGCATAGATTTTGTTTTTGTAACTTGTAAAATCCATTAATTCAACTAATATGGTAGCTTTATTGATTATATACTTCTCTCACTGGTTACATAACCAGAAGAGAAATGGAGGAAGTGAGAAGACGTTTTTCAAGTAATATCAAGTAGAAAAAAGATTTCTTCTAAAACAAAAAATATTCTTTGATAACAATAAAAAAAATTGTGGGTCTAGAAAAGTTAGAAGAAAAACTTTTCTTCTACAAAATTTACCAGTTAGAGCCTAATAGATCATATTTTTTTTTATTATATACTATTAACCCTATTAGTGTTGCATAAATTTTAACTTGGCAAGTCTACTGATTTTGTAATCATTGATTCTGCTAATTAATTTCACATATTCCCTTGTACGCACCAAATATGTTATATTTATGCAAATATCTAAAAATTTATAATTTTATATATCAGAAATCACGGCACGCACAAAACAAGTTTTAACGTAAAATAACGCTAACTAATTAGAGTTTGAACCTATAGAGATTTGAGTCGATCAAACTTGAAAAATTCATTTACTCTACTAATTTGGTAACTCCATTGGTTATGTTATTTTGTAGGACTTGAATTTGCTAACTATATTTAAACTTTAATTTGGCAAATCCGCTGATTTTGGAATCCAGTTTCACAATCTCTCACGTGAACTAACAATGGGATATATATATATATATATATAAGCGTCCTACTTTTCCAGTTACCCGAAAAAAATCTAATTTTACTTAGTAAAAATTACGATATCAACGAAACAAAATCCATTTAATTTACTCAATACAAAAGTAATTAATTAATGAGAACTTGAATAATCTTTTCAAAATTTTTGACCGATAATATTAATTCATTCATCAACAACTAAAGAGTCATTTGAATCTATATATAACAATATTTGAGAAGTGTTTTTGCTGACGTGTCGGACTCTCGGCTCTTGTTGAGTCCTTGATTTTACGTAATTA